AAAGAGTAATTACTTGTGATATTTTAAAATATTTATTGTTGAACATATAATCATGTACATAAATTCAATGAAAAATTGTAATTTATGCCCCTCACAAATATGTCAATTATCTGTCGCTCCTGAATTATTAGTGGTGTAAATATTGTCCCTCAATTTTTAAAACGTGACATATATTGCCCCTCCTGAATTATTAATGGTGTAAATGTGGTTATCCATCTTTTTTCCTTTTTAAAGACCACATTTTTTTTTGTCCATTTTTCTTTCTTCGTGTGTTCTCCTTTCGCTGACAACAATATTTCTCCTTCTTCCTATTAGGGGAGGGGCAATATATGTCACTTTTTGAATATTGAGGGACAATATTTACACCACTAATAATTCAAAAGTAACATTTATAATTGACATATTTGTGAGGGGCATAAATTATAATTTTCCCCAAATTCAATTCTAGCTAGTTTTTTTTTGAAAGTCAATTCTAGCTAGTTTTTTTGAAAGTCAATTCTAGTTAATTATGGTATTTGTCATGGTTTATTGTGGTTGTAATGCACAAATAATGAATTTATCACAATATAATTATATTCGTTGCATTTGAATTAATGCACGTCAAATCAAGTAGTATTCATTACTTTGAAAGTAAATGTTAATTATAGTTGTCATATATCAATATCATTGCTATGTTATGTGTTCTCCAAGTTAATAAGTTCTCATAAATATTACGGAGTATATCTCTAATCTATATCACTATTCACTTAAATATTGCATAGTATATCTCTAATCTCTACCACTAATTTAAACTTTAATAAGATCGAGTAAAAAAATGATAATTCTTAACTAGAATGAAAATATGTTGTAAGTATATTGCATCAAAGTCTTTCTTCCTTTTTCATTTTTTTGGTTATTTGTGTTAAAAAAAATTGCTATATATCTAGACAAAAAAATATATCTTCCATACAAAAGAATAAGGATAGCAATTCATTTCTATAACTGAGTTGTTAGAGAACGAGCATATTTGCCTAATGTATGAAAATACTAAACAATGATAAATAAAATCTTCAAAGTTATAGCACCGCATGTGTACATCTAGATATTAACTGCACTATTAATTTGAGCAATTATTTGCACAAATTCAAGCAATGATAACATCAAAATATATAAACGATCCAAACCATATCTTTAATTATACTATATAATATTTGATGTTCTAATTTAAATAATTACATATCGATTCATATATTCTTAATATATTACAACAAATCCATTTCGTGCATCGCACGAGTTCAAATACTAGTTTTTTTAAATAAAATTTCTCTTCACATTTTTTATTTGGACATTTCCATTAATATTAGTCTTTAATTAGAATGAAGATTTTGAAAGTGACTCTCCCAAATGGGAGGTCAGGGGTTCGATCCCCAGTGGAGGCGCCGAGGCAGTATTGATTCTTTATGCTTCGGTAGATTGAAAAAGTAGTTATAAATAGATACTAAATTGTAACAGAGTTAGTATTACTCAAAATAAAATGAAGATTTTGGTAGTGATATAAGTGGTATTGAATATTTTTCTTTCATGTGTTTTGTGTTGTACATTTATATATTCTTACAAATTATACCATCAATATTTTCTCTTTTACCAATTCTAACGTAACCTCACAATGTAAAATATACAAACACATGCATAGTTTTTAGATAGTTTAACTTATTAATAATTTTGAATCAATGAACAACGTGTATCTATTTTAATATAATTTCATATTTAAAATTTAAAAATTTAGCTTTTATTTTATTTTAACCTTTTTTAGTTTAAAATTCATTTAAAAAATTATGTTGACTTTCATTTCATTTATTATGATATCGATGTTAAAATTCTAATTAGAACAAAAAAAAAATCAAAGGAAAACTATTTGCATTTGTCAAAAATATAATCATTTTGAAACACAATACATACTAAGCTCAATATATATATTTTTTAGAAATTTATGTGAAATAATAATATTTCAAAACATAAAAAAATTAAAATTACATGCATCTTCTAATAACTGTAAAATTTATGTGTTTCAATCATATATTTTTACTATTTTCATTTTCATTGATCATTTCTCAATAATCTCACACCGTGTGTGTTTATAACTAGTTATCTCAAAATTTTGGGTGAAAAGAAATATTTAAAAAATCTAACAAAATATGAATTACAAAATTATTTTAAATAATTAAGAGCATTTAAAATTTCATTAAATAATATAAGATTTTCAAACAATGTAATATATTAATTAAACGTACAAGTGTTATTGGATCCCTACGTCTCATATTTGAATCTAGCTTATCTCAATTAGGATTGACAGAATTATTGAATATTGATAAATTAAAGTGTACTAAAAGTATTATTGATAAATTAAAGTGTACTAAAAAAGTGATATTGGATTCCTAGGATAGGTGCCATGCATGTTACAATTACTTATCACGGTTATAATGCACAAATATTATCACTACTATAACACATATCCGCAACAAAAATATTCTTTAGTACGTAGCATTTGAAATAATAGCTATATTTGACACGTGTTAGTTGAAAGCTAAAAAGCTAGTAGTTAATAAGTAAACTAATTGAAATTAAAGTGTTTGGTAAAATTAATTATTAAATTTAGTTAATAAGTGTAAAAAGACATAAAAGGATAAACTAAGACATTAGAATTTTGATTAATTAACGGTAGATGGTGCCACTTTTGTAAATTAATAAATATATATTAAAAAAAGGTTTAAAAGGGGTCATAAGCTTATTTTGAAACGCTACTTGTATAGCATTTCAAAATAAATTATTATTTTAAACTTTCCATGTTTTACCAAACATAATTTATATAGCTTATTTATAGCTTAAAATAAGCTATAAGCTCAAACCAACAGAGTCAATGCGCATCAAATCACAGTAGTATTCATTACTTTGATAACAAATGTTCATTATTATAGTTGTAATACATCAATAAAGTAATGCTACATACCATTCTTATATTTCATTCTCTTCTAATCTTTCCTTTTTGACGTGACATTATCTTATAGAACTTTTCAGTATTTGATTATTAACTAAATTTCTTTTTTTTAATTAGTGGTGGGATCAATCAATTTATAGTGATACGATGAATGGAAGTCACTTCAATTAATATCATCAGAATATATACAAGATTTGGGGTAAGACTATATACAAGATAATGTTTGGGAATCGGTTGGTCATAGGAGTGAAATTTGAGAAGAATAACCAGAGATCAAGTCTCACCAGCGGCATTGTCAGAACAACCTCTCCAAATAAGGGGTTGAGTTACCATGATTTACATCTTCCCACAACCTTTTTGGAAATGATATATACAAGATGATGTAATTTTCTTGAACCAAATTAACGTCCCTAAAATTAAGTAACATCGGATTCTAGTGTATATATATACCAACAAATATGAAAATTGGTAATTGTGGGGGATTTAATTAAAACGCATTATTAAACTTAGGGTGTGTTTGGAAACCTGGAAAATGAGTTCTGGAAATCATTTTCCAAGTTTTCAGTGTTTGGATGTGCCTGGAAAATCAAGTCAACGGAAATCATTTTCCGTTGACTTTGGAAAATAGGCTTGTTTTGGAGGAAAATGACTTCCCCTTTTTTTGGGGGGAAGTCATTTTCCAACTTTTACACCAACATCACACCACCACCAACATCATCAACACCATACCACTACCACCATCACCACCACTACTGCCGCCGCCACCACCACTATACCACCGCAACCACCGCCACCACACCACCACCACTACCACCACCAACACCATACCACCGCAACCACTACCACCACCAACACCATACCACCGCAACCACTACCACCACCAACACCATACCACCGCTGTCGTCACCACCACCATACCACTGTTGCCGCCACCACCACCATACCACCGCAACCACCACCACCACCATACCACCGCAACCACTGTCGCCGCCACCACCACCACTACCACCACCGTCGCCGCCGCCACCATACCACCGCAACCATCGTCACCGCCACCACCATACCACCGCAACCATCGTCACCGCCACCACCACCACCATACCGCCGCCGCCACCACCACCACCATACCACCGTAACCACCGTCGCCGCCACCACCATCACCATACCACCGTTGCCGCCACCACCACCATACCACCGCAACCACCACCACCATCACACCACCGCCGCCACCACCACGACCATACCACCGCCACCACCACCACCACCACCACCATACCACCGCAACCACTGTCGCCGCCACCACCACCACCACCATACCATTACAACCATCGCCACCACACTACCACCACTGCCACCACTGTCATACCACTACCAGTTATTATTATTATTATTATTATTATTATTATTATTATTATTATTATTATTATTATTATTATTATTATTATTTATATTATTATTATTATTATTATTATTATTATTATTATTATATAACAAATAACACCACTACCACTACACCACCACCACCACCATAATATTTTTGATATATTATTAGTTATTATTTTATTATATTTAAAATTATTATTATATTATTATATATTATTATACATGTTGTAATATTCTAAATAAAATAATTAAAATGTTTAATTATACAATTCTACTCATTTTCCAGAAAATGAACCAAACACACAAAAACAGTTTTCCAGAATGCAACCAAACACTGGAAAGGAAAATGTTTTCCGGAAAATGACTCATTTTCCAGAAAACATTTTCCAGAAGTCATTTTCCAGCTTTCCAAACGGACCCTTATTGTACAAATAATGGGTGTCACTGAAATGCTGAATATTAGGTAAAGAATAAGCTAGTTGGATAAGCACACGTAGTGGTTTGTGGGAAGAAAATTTTGATTATAGTTATTATTGTTCTAGCATTTGTGGGAAGAAAATTTTGGATAAGTACATATCATGGTGCGTGCACTAAAAATATATGGCTCATCTTCAAAATGCCCTTCACACTTGATTGATTCAATAATTATGTTTTGGTATTGAGAATCCACCTTGGAGAATATAATAGAGGTACTAAAATTCTAAAATGTTGTATTAAAAATAAAATTCTAAAATGTTACGCATGTTACATTTGTCAACATGTATGTAAACTGAAAGTCATAAAGAGAGTGGAAGTATGAAATAAATTTGTCCTTGTAGTTGTATATATACGTACACATCTCAAAATGTCGTACGTTATTGCATCACATCCTTTGTACTTTTTTTTTTTTTCTTCTTCTTAATATATAAGAGCAATAAAGGCACTTTTTTGGAAGAATGTTTATTTATTCTCACTTATATATGTTACTAGTTACCTCACTTATATATATGTTACTAGTTACCACATGTGCACTGCGTGAATAATCCAATGCTCAATATGTATTTTTAAATTAGTTTTTCAAAATTTATTAAAGTATTATTCGGTATCCTGACATATATCAATGCAAGATTATTAAATTTTTCATAAAAGTAAATATTTCAAGAATGCATAACTATGACCTGTGGCATAAATGTTGGATTAACTGATGCAATAACAATTTTAGAGGGAAGTACCATCACTGGATAGTACCCTAAGCATAGTTTTTGTAACACAAAACCTATTAATTGGTGTGATCCATGCTTCCTCTTGTTGTCACATCTGTCATAAATGAATTCTTGATTTGATCTAGTCTGATCTCTTGGTGTGCTTCACTGCAATTTTAGTGCATTGGCGCAGTGCACCTTCAAAAACAGAACCAAATCTTCCTTTCCCAAAAAGACAATGATAATAGGCATAGTTTTTTTTTTTTTTTTTTAATCTGCATGTGTTGAACATATATTATAAATTAGGTGTACCATTTCATCAATACCCAAATAAGAACGGACGTGTAGGAAAGGATTAGGAACCAGTTGAGTTGTTCATCTAGAAAGATCTAACGGCTTTAAAGTAGTGAAAAAGAAAAAAAACGCGATGACATTTTCTCAAATAACTTGAACTTTAAGTGCAAGTAATAACAATATGGAGTGCACTTAACAACATCATAGAGTACAACAATATTAAGTGCACCTAACGTTATTATTAATTGCATCAAATGTGAATGTATTAATTACATACTTGCACACTATAGTATTAAAGGTGCAACACACTTTATATTGTTGTTACTTGCACACTGCACCTAGGGATGGCAATAGGGCAGTGCATGGGTGGGGAATGGAGTCCTCGTCCCTGCCCCCGAATTCATCCCTCGGTCCCCGACCCCGTCCATATTTCCCCAGTTTTCTCATTAGGGTCAGATTGAATTGTCATCCCTCCTCAACTATACCACATACTTGCCTATGACCTTACTCTGATACGAATTGTCAAGTCAATCACTTACCATTACGTCAAAAGTTTTAATAGCAAAAACATAAATTTATTTTCTTATACTTATGTAGCCATCAACGTCATATTTCAATGATATAATATAATGCTAGATTTGACCACCAAGTCAATGCTCAACAATTAGCCTATACTTAATTATATGATAATTATCATTTTGAATTTTTTTTAAAGGTGGTTCTTAGTAGCCTACCTAACATCCTAACCCACCGAAAGGAGCCCATAAACTCCACACCCAAAATTCAAATTAAACACTAAAAGAAAGTAGCACAAACTAAAATACGACTTTTTTATTATGTCATCCATTCTCTTTTAGCATTCATGGACATGATATCACTTTCTGTTTTGTTTTTCCAATTTTTTAAAGTTTAGGCTAATCAACTAATTATCACACTTTTCATTGGAAGTCATGGAATATCTACTTTTGACGTGCAATGCATTAAGAGGACAATATAAAATTCGTTTGTCTACTTTTCCAGTGGCAAATATATATTCTTGTTATATATCGTGCTAAAATAAAAATAAAATAAAATAAAAAGCATGCACACAATTAGTTGGTGAATTTCCTCTAAAATTCAATTACTTTTTTAAAAGTAAAATCAAATAATATTACCAAAATTATTACAACACTTTTAATATTTTTTTTGTTAATAAAATTATATTCTTTCATTTCTCAATATAGTTGATATGACAAAAATACTCTTACATTTTTTAAAAAATTATTTTAGATAAATGTAGCATTGTAGTAAAGAGTACATATTTTAGTTTGTTTAGGTATCATATATATTAGTGTGATAAAACTTCATGAGTTAAAATGGTTACTCGAAACATGAGTGGTACTCTTCATAATGTGTTCACTATTAAATCTAAAATGATAACTCTTTTATATCGATATATCAAAATACACATACTTTTAGAATCACCATCAAGAATGTTATTCAGTGCACACTCAAGAGTAGTGACTAAGGTTTTTCTTGAATAATTTTCTACTACATCTAAGGCCAAATAATTTAAGATTAGTAATTAATAATGTCGAGTAAGCCTACCATGATATCACTTTTAAAAATTTGTATTGATCATTATGTCATTGGGAAATTTTTATTTCTCTTTTTATCTTTTCCAATTAAACATTAGTAATTTATTATATACCCCTTTTCCCCTTATATTGGTAAATTAGCTAAAGTTTATTTATTTAAAAATATTATATTATATAACCAAAAAAAAAAAAAAAACAATTAGATAAAGTTCTCGATCATGCGGCAAACTGATTCATGATGACGGCAAAAGAAAACTACACCATGACTCCTTAGAAGACATTTGGAATATAATCTTCTTATGAATAAAAAATTAAAGGATGATGTTAGTTTTGAACTAAACAAATACTTGAAGTTTTGACCGCACTAAGAGTAGCCACGCAATGACCATAGCTTTCTCCTTATCACAATATTATTAGAAATTTTAATTTTACGATATCAAAAAAAAAAAAAAAAAAAAGTCTTGTAGCTACTATTACAAATAAAAATATATATTGTATTTTTGTAAATAAAAGAGAAAATTATACTTTTCGTCCCTAAGTTATAGGATAATTGTAGAATTCGTTCCTAAGTTTGGGTCATGTTCACTTTTCGTCCCTAAGCTATACTATAATTACAAATTTCGTCCATAACTTTTGTTAGTAAATGGGAGAAAAGTGCAAGCCAATGATAGTTTAGGGACAAAAACTCAAAAAGTGAGTATGACCAACACTTAAGGACGAATTCTACTATTATCTTATAACTTTTGGCAATATAACATTTTTTAATATTATAATATCAATAATTGAGAAAACTTTACAATGTCAAAAAAATAAGTTTTTTTTTTTTAAATTCTTTCAAACATAATAGTTTTTTTTTTTTTTTTTTTTTGGGGGGGGGGGGGGTGGGTAGGGGAGAGTACAAACATATAATAGTTTTAAATCTTAGTTTTGAAATAGGGGTATTTTAAAGCTATTTACCAAATAGGGGTTGTTTTCACCAGCCTTGCCATCGCTATGTCATCCTTTTTTTTTACTCATTATCACTGCCAGTACTTCACACACTATGACACTTCATTCCTCAATCGCCAATGTATAGTATGATATCATCAATCATGTCAACTTTCCTGTAACATTATACGGAGAGATATGTTTTAAAATCTCGCATCGAAAACCCTCCTTTTTTCTTTTATTATTGTAATTCAATTTCTTGTATATGATCAGATACATATGTGGGTAAGGACCACTTATTACACACCGAATTCCTAAATTCCTAATTCAAAATGTACAATGACCGGGTAAACAAGATTTCCCTTTTCATAAAACAGAAAAAAAAAAAAAAAAGACAGTCCCCCTCTTACCGAGCATTTCCGAAAAATGCTCATTTTTTTACGACTATGTATTTGTATATTTTGTATCTAATCTATATGACAACTCTTTTCCTTTGACTATTCTTTTATTTATTAATTTGACTATTCTTTTATTTATTTATTAACTATATATTTATATTTCAATTTCTTATATGTAACATAATATGTTTCTTTATTAACTATTATTTATATTTCAATTTCTTATATGTAACATTATATGGTACATGAGACCAAAAAGACGAAAGTGGTAACTAACAGGATTCTCATTCAATCAGAAACAATATTACACAGAGGAGTCCTATAGAAAGCTACCACTAAAGGCTCCTGTACAATAGGATTGACTAGTCAAATATAATACTAGTCACAGATAAATAAACCATATACTATATTATTACTAACAACCACATGCATCATCACATATTTTATAAAATAAAATCTTTAAATGTTGTAATATAAATGAGTAAAATTCAAATTTTTTACAACATTTTAAGATTTTATTTTGTAGAATATATTATAATGTGGTCAGAAAATTGACATAAGATTAATGATTTGACATACTATACATCAGGAGATTGAAGAACTTGCGGTAATGGTCCGACATAATGTATAAGGTGGCAATGCCAGTAAAAATGGTGACAAATGAATGACAAGACAAAAATAATCTCTATTTACAAAATAAATTTAAAAACACCCTATTAAATGTCGATACTTTCTGTAAATGACTATAATCATGTTAACAAAAATGTAACAATCTCTTCCTATTTATATTTATAGTAATTTATAGTAATAGGTGAAATATCTTTTCAACATTACAAAATTTTCTATAATAAGCATATATATATATATATATATATATATATATATATATATATATATATATATATATATATATATATATATATATATATATATATATATATATAGAATTAATTTCACTTTTGGTCCCACGACTTTAGAGTATCTATCACTTTTGGTGCACAACTTTAAAAGTTTTCAATTTTGGTGCCTAACTTTGTTGTTTTTATCAATTTTGGTCCTTTCAACCAAATTGACGACGAAATATTGCCGGATTTTATATTTTTAGGGGTAAAATCGCCATCCCAAGGAAACATCTTCAATATCTAAACAAAATCACTCTAAAATCATATCTATAGGTGTTTGATCGATGAGAATAATTGGGAAGACGGACAGAAGCTAGACACAGATCTATGAGATTTATAGCATCGACGATTGCCAAACTCTTATATTTCTCTTAACATGATTTTTCTTTTGTTTAGATATTGAATATCTTTCCTTTGGATGACGATTTTGCCCCTGAAATGTAAAATCTGGCAATATTTCGCAGTCAATTTGGTCGAAAGGACCAAAATTGATAAAAATAACAAAGTTAGACACTAAAATTGAAAAAATTTAAAGTTGTGCACCAAAAATGATAGAACCTCTAAAGTCGTGGGACCAAAAGTGAAATTAGTTCTATATATATATATAGTTATATAGTTATATTACAATTTATAAAATTTCAATATTTCACTAACAAAATATATATATCCTGAGTAAATTTGATATCCATGACTTTAAATATAAAATTAAAAAATACTTTTCATGAAAATAGTTTAGATAAAATTCGAATTTATAAAAGGCGAACTCATCTATCTTGACAACTCATTATTGTTTATTGGCATCTCGATTATCCATTTATCTTACCTTTCCTCACTTCATATAGTGATTCTATTTTCTCACTACTTCCCTTAATTGTCCTTTCTTCTTTTAGGGCGGCTGTATGATATTGAGATATGATCATCCTTGCACTTGGAGCAATAACTATAATGCACTATGGTTATCAAGTATGGTGCACTACATTTTTAAAATAATTACATTTAATTTAATAATTTAACTTGACATGTATGCTATCCTAAATGTACCCAAGATTAAATTAATTTAATCCCATAAAATGCAATATCAGTGTAGTATGCAAAACGTACAAAAACTAATAGTAATAAAAAAAAACAAAAACTATTAAATTTAAAAATCACTGAAATTTATTGTTTTTGTTTAATTGAATTATATATGGGCAATTGAACAATCAAATAAGTAAAATATGTGTAATAATTAAGATATTTTTCCTAGTATAATTCAACCACATTACTTACATGGCATGTAATAAGAGTCCTTATTTCCTCTTGCGTGATAGTTAGGAGAAAATATTGAAGTCTTCTTAGACCGCCTTCCATGTATGCGAGTCTGTCATGGATCTTTTGCCACCTTCCCTACATGTAGCCTTATTGGACTCATTACGAAGTCTCTTCAAAGAGCCTTCCCATGCTCTAGGGTCTTAACCATTCTCTCGTTGGCCTCCTCCCAGTTTGTTTAGGAAGCAACTTTACCTGAGCGTTGGGGCCAACGACCGTCTGCTGCGTCAGGCTGGGCTGTGCCCCCCACTACTGTTAGGCTAATGACTGGACATTAGGCCCAACTCCCCAGGGGCTCGGGTTAGCTAGTTTTTGTAGCTGGAGTGTCCTCTCTAAATGTCAATGTAAGTGTAAAAATATTACACATTGGATCCTACTATGTTGGCTTGAATTAGTTGTCCTTTTAAAGTAGTTAATTGGCTAAAAAATTAGTTAAGGTTTGTTTCACTGGATTAGTGCCAGGAGGTAAGACAGCAAAGGATGTTCTCGGTCAAAAGGTTCTAGTCAAGACCCTATTCTCAGGGATCTTTAAATCAAAAGAGCAGCTGAAAATAAGGAGTGATAAGATGCGCAAGTTTAGATCAAGGAGGCATCTCAAGTACCTCTATAAAATGCTACTTTGTCTAGCATTTCAATTCACGTTTTTTTAAGAAGATTTCTGCTTTCTCTATTCTGATATATCTTGTTGGATATCTGATCGGTGGTGCACTGGTGAAGAAGATCTCACGAAGGGTTCATGATGCGAAGAAGATAGCCTGCACATCAAGTCCACGTAATCGCTGGAGTAGGTTCTGGAATAGATATAGTTTATACTTCAAGTGTAATGTTATCTCTTCTTTTTGTACTCCTGTTATTTGTCTAGTGGATTTGGGTTGACGTGAGCGGCCCCGCAGAGGTAGGAGTGAGGCTCCGAACTGCGTTAACATCTCCTGGTGCACGGTTCCGTTTATTACTTGCATAAGCTTTTATTTATTATGTCTGGATTAGATCCTGGAGCTAGTCCAACTTAATTATTGAGTTTTTCTTTTTGTCGGAATCTTAGGCTTTATCCTGCTTTCAAGATACACGTGCTTTTTCAGTCAAGGTGCCTGTTGAAGCTCTAGTTTCTTCTACGTGAGAAATAGACCCCAGGAATACAGCTGACTCCTTCCCTGTCGGCTGAGGTGTTCTCATAGGTCCTTGGAATGTTTGCTTTCTGATCCAACCATTCAGTTATACTTCGCGGCTAATTTGAGAAAAGAGTGTAAAGTTGGGTAGATTTTAGGGACACGTACTTTTCATAGCAGTTCCTTCAAACAGAGCCAATAACGATTTTACGGGATTAAGCCCATCATAAACTTTGTCAAAATTATATTTTGGACAGGTAAAAGGTAATAATAATAATATTTAACGGACGTTGGGCTCAAATGATATTCACAATTGGGCTACAATATGTAAGCAAAGCACAAAGGTCCAAGACTTTGACCCCTTACTTGACTTTCCATCCAAATGACAAGCAATCTGTAGATCGAGTTCAAGCACGGGTCTTGTGGTTGGGAGGATGGACTAGTCAGAGACCACTGGACTACAAGTCTCGATGAGGATGTTGTTAGAAGGGGGCCGGAACAAGATAGGACACCCTTTTATAGTATCTTTCTCCCAAAAATGAGTGATTCTCATGTCTCAATCAACATTGTTCACCCACTTGTCATCATCCCAAGTCGTGTCACTACCCAACCCCCTTTACTAATATGTATTGTTTATTCACTTTATTGTTTTCACTTCAACAACTTTACTAATATGTATTGTTTATTCACTTTATTGTTTTCACTTCAACAACAGATAAAGTGGATTAATTGATTGCCACCCTAGTAGCTAATCTTACAAGTCCAAGGTTTGTATCAGCTTATTAACTTGAGCCATGCAACCTTTTAGACTCCAATATCAATTAGTTCCTAAAGCCCCACCCTTTGGCCCAACTGTCTTTGGACCCAAGCCGTATGGCTCTATCAAATTTAATATATGGTATCAAATTATACTCACTTAAAAATATATCAACCATTATAGTAAGGATCATAGTTCATTGACATAAAATTCATTATTAGTATATTGAAAGTTTATTTTTAGTATATTGAATGTGTTATAAATAGATTTATGGTGGATATTAATATTAATAGCTTTGTAACGTTTATAACGGATGTATTTATTCTTCATTATTGTATGTCTTTATTGTATCTTGTATATATATCATTGTACTATGATGGATGATAAACGAAGAGATGATCCTCCTTTCTCCCTTGTCTATTCTGTATATTCTTTCAACACGTTATCAGCACTTTGCTCTACCTAATAATTCATCTGGGTTCAACAATTTGTTGCGTTTGATTGTATAGCAATTCTGCATTTCCTCGACAGTTCGCGAGTCGGCCAGTGTTCTGACGAACAAAGAAATACATGGATCGGAACCATGGTCATCTTCTTAAGCAACTCCGCCCACCGCCCGCGACTCCAAATCACGCCGTCGTGGTGTTACAATGTGAACCATGGTCTATAGTATAATTTACCACTACTCTTCAAATTCAAATCTTTAGTATTATGTACAAATTGAATACGAAGCTGGCTGAGAGTAGCCCCAATTTTGAATGCATCTAGTTCATGCCTATTAGCCTTCATATTCATTTCGTTGTGCCTTCATTCCCATTTCAATTTTTAGATTTTCTGTTTGTTTCATTGTGAAATATATACAAATGTAGTACAAATAGAATTAATTTGTAAATAATTAAAGCAAACATGATCTTCAACAAAATGAGAGCCTTCAATTATAACCCATTGATCCTTATATTTTAAGAAGGTGCCTGATACGATCTCACATCGGCTTCACAAGAGATTGTGAAGTGGTACTTAAATTGGGACTAAACCTCCACTCATGAGCTAGCTTTTGTAGAGTTAGGGTCTTGGCTTGAGTACCATATCATTTGGTGCTCTTGTTGAGAGGTTGGAGTGTGGTGGGAAAGGGTTACCTAGAAGAGGGCTACCCAGTGCTTGATAAGGTTCAAAGGGAACCGAGAAGAGTCCGGAGTGAAAGCTATCCAGAGTGAAGCCGTCCACTCATCCGGTGCCGGCCTAGCGGAGGGGGCTACCTGGTGCTTGATACCGGAGTGAAGCTATCTAAAGCGAAAAAGGGCTACCTGGTGTCGAGAAGAGTTCGAAGTGTGAACCGTCTAGAGTAAGCCGCCGCGAACGTCAACTTCTCAAGGGATGAACAATGATACGATCCCACATCGACTCCATAAGAGATTATGGAGTGGTACTTAAGTTAGGGCTCTCATGAGCTAGCTTTTGTGGTGGAGTTAGAATCTTGGCTTGAGTACTGTATCAGTGCCACAAGTGTAAAATAGAAAAGTGTAGAGAAAAAAGGAGTCGCCCACTATCTCCAATGGTGTTTTATCACATAAATACAAATACAAATTGTAAAACACTAAAACCTTGTATAATATAATTATTAATTAATGAACAGAGGACCAAAACAAAACAGTAATAGATAAATTAACTTCTAGCTTACAAAAAGGGGAAAATTCTATACATGTAAATAAAGTAAGATTTCTTCACCCAACAAGACCTAACAACGCCCTTTTATCCCAACCAAAGAAAGAAGAAAAAAACTAACGGAATAGGAATATAACAGCAGAAACATTAATGTTTTAACTCATCACAGTCACCAAAACGGTGGCAAGGATCACTAATCTTCCACTTCATGTTGATCTGGCATCTGATGGCAGAGAACAAACAAATGATGTTTCTTATGATTTACGAAAGCCCGCCTGTTGAAGCTAGTGAAGCTGCCCTGTCCGTCGTTCAATTAAATGCTGCGAATTGTGTCCACTCTGTCAATGATGTCCATCGCTTTGATTCGGTCGAGGTCAAAGTTTATAACGGGTACAGAAGACGGTCGCCTGATGGGGAAAGGGTCTTTCTTGATCTCGCTTGTACTAGGTGAATGGCTGCTGCTCTTGCTCAGGCGGTGCTGCTTGCTCAACCTGGTTCTTGCTGTATCGAATTCCTGACTTTTACTGATTCCTGGCGTTAGCTTCCTCTTGCTTACGTCGCGAAGCATCTCTTGGTCTTCAACTGTCAATGTGGGAGATGGCGAGTTTGGCTTCTGGGTTGACAACTGAATCGTCTTCTGATTAGGGGACCGGATTGGAGATTTTACAGGAGATCTAGCACTGCCATTAGGAGAAGATCTTGACTGACTAACAAGATGATGTAACCACACCACAAGTTCAAGAATATAGGTTTCAGTCTTCTCCTTATCTGCGTGATAAAGTGTCTCAATTCGAAGTAGATCAGTCTGCCCAGCAGATTTCCGATTTATCTCAGGCCTAATATATAACAAAGCATATGTTGTAGCAAAAATAAATCCAATTGGTTTAAATAATAAGTGAACATATATAATGAGGTTACCCTGTATTTGCCCATTCTCCAACCCATCCAAAGCCGTGATGTGCCCTGGAATGTAAACTTTTTCATCAACTGAAAGCACAAGTATTTGCACAAAAAGAGATATGAAACTATACAAAACAAAAGGTTTGTGAGGCACAAAAGTTCTCCATTTTTTTTTTTTGATGTAAACCACAATGTGATCCGGGTCTTTCTCTGTCCGTTTAACGGTCCAAGTCCACCCGGTTCACTCCGAGAGGCCCAAAGGAAATCGTCACTTGTGGGAATCGAACCCAGGTTATCCCGAAATTCTCCCCCACACAGAGAAATAGAGGCTCTAAATAGCCCCAAACAAATCTTTAAAAAATTTTAGCCATGGTATCATAATAAGCATAACAAAATGCAAAATGGAACGTTTACAACTGTCGGTCAATATCAAATAGTTAACCAAAGAAATTAAGAAATATGAACCAACCTATCAAGTCCAAATTGAACTAGTACAAACTCATTAAGTATAGAAAAATATAATAATATCTATACATGCGCACACACATACAGTTACTGCCGTGCTCTAAGGCGAAGATTAAGTATAAATATTATGGATGCAATCACAACCCAATGAAATTAACAAATTGCCACTATAAGAAATGAGAAATATAGTGTAAGAGAGAAGTTGTACTTGGTTGTATTGGTTGCCATAGGTACAAGCCATTCCAATGTTTTCTCCATTTCAGCTTTTATTTGAGAGACTGTCAACTGCATCAAGACCATCCATGAGAGCCAAGAGTGATCACAGTTAGTAATAATTTTACTAACATGTGTGCTTTCCAAAAAACTCACATGAAACAGGAAAAGTATTGTTCCTCAAAAGATAGACTTTGTCAGGATTGTATGAAAGATGAAATAAATACCTCCTCTTTAAGTTGGAATGACTGTAACTTGAATCGCAAAGCAGACTTTATGTTTGGTGGCAGACCTTGGTAAAGATTATCTCTTGTATTAGGTGGCACTGAACCCGATCGAGTAACCTGATGACATTAAAATTAAAACACTTGATTTGAAGTTTGTTCTTCCAATTATTTAGCTCAACCACACACACACACACACAAAAAAACTTCTAAAACTAACCCAAACTAAGAGCTAGTGGTTAGAGATGATACAAAAGGAAACTAAGAGTGTCAAATAGTAATAGATTCAATCTTCAGAAAAATATTCACTCTTAACACAAACTAAATACTTACAAGTGTATCAATCTGAGTGATAATATTTGCATAATGCAATGCAAGACCTGCAGATCCCAACCTTAGGTGGTGGTTTTTTATTGGTTTACCCCCATCTACAAGGTATCAGCAAAAACATTAGAGATAGAATAGTGTAAATTCATAGATAAACAGCAATCCATCACATAGAACACTTCCATAGGAGATGATACATGACAAGCATGATCCAAGTACCGGGCAGGCAGTATTCATCAAATAAACTTATTAACAAAGCTACAGGCTATACCTAGAATTCATGCAAACTTTATTTTTGTTTTTATTGCGTATTGTTCAAGGCCTATAATACCACCACCCCCCCACCCCCCCACCCCCCCTAAAAAAACAAGGGATTTTGAAAGAATAGAGCAGCTAACACCCTGGCACAGTTTTCTCATCAAGCTAGTTTTGACTTGACAGTGCTCAAGGCTCCTCCCATATGTGTTGCAAGCGCTCTTGAAAATTTGATAGTAAAACAGCAAGTGCTCCTTGCCACCTCTCATGTGAAAAGAATAGATAATAGCATGCCAGCTTCAGAAGAGAACGATAAGTTATTGTTTCTGAATGCATTACCAGCACTGCCAGAGGTAGCATGAATCTCCAAATGCAGGAAATGAACAATATCCACCAACTTCTCCATCACCTTAAATTAAGAGGGTAGGAATTAGCTTTCATCAGATGCAAGTAGGTTAACCATCTATATATTATAAACATTTTTGAATGGTTACATACTAAACAAATTAATGGTTTTAAAAAGCCATGTTCTTAGCATGCAAAAGTGCAATTACCAGTTATAATTAAAGAAAAGAACATAAATCAGCACTGACTTGCTACCTCTTCCAAGATTTTTGACCAAAGAGACTTCTTTTTCAAACTTTTTACATGTTTCTTCTGACTTTTCAACTCAGCCCTTAAGATTGCAAGGCCATCTCCTAACCATAGAAAATGAATAGAACAGAAAGCAGTCAGCAACATATAAGAAAAGAATCATAGTGAAAAATATAGAGTAGAATATAGCAATAGAACATAAATGAAAAGCAGCAGATCATCAAAAGGAAGACAATAAAGCAATAATAAGCAAGAGAATGGATAAGAATACCAACAGCCATACAAGACCATAGAGAAAAATTAAATAAAGGCACCATTCAAAGAGTATTCTGATCTGTATTAAGCATTCAAATGCCTTTATCAGAGGAACCTAGCAAATATTCAATTAATACTCTCTTCCCTCCTGCAACCAGCACGGAGCGTTTCAGACAAATGATTTAAATAAAAAATAAGTTGCGCAATTATCACTTCTGCACATAAAAAGGAGTACAAAATTACTCCAGTTCACATTCCACAAGATTAAGCAGAGTACATGAAATAGTAAGAAGCAATATTCCCCTACGGACAGGTGCCATTTATTGACTCAATGTTACAGATAAAGAAAAAGATAAAAAGGAATTTGCTCCAACCCATAAAACATGGAAGCTCAATGCAATTCTATACAGCCACTTAATCAGAAGGTTTAAAACTACTCAAGGTTGAAGAAATTGTTATAATCCAAATTTGATAAAGCTGGTCCTACAAAAATAGTAGTAGTAGTATGAAACAATAATAATAATGTTATTGTTAATAGTAAAGAAAATTCAGTTTCCCCTTCCAACAAGGAAGTCAACACAAGATAAAATTGCAATTAATGTAAAGTGAAAAGCTGCATAAATTACCTCTTTGGGCAGCACTTGAATTATCATCTTCCTGAGCTTTACGCCGATAATCCTGCTCAAATCTGTCCAAGGCATGCAATTCATGATATAGTTCCTAAAAATAACAATGAATATCTTCATTAGATCTGAAATCAATAACTAAGTTCATTAGTTGGAAGAAAACCATCGTACAAGAACACCATCTATGAGCAAGCAGTCAGCATAAACAACTATTTTGAGACGAGCATTGCTTTTCCATAAAACAATAACTACAGCAATTCTTTTCCACAAAATTTATTGAAACAAAAGAAATTGAAGCGCTGGTTGAAATCTTAAACAGAAAAGAGTATAAAGAATGAATCCAGCTCCTGTTCTTATTTTGGCTAGTTTGGAATGAAAGAATATGCACCAATTTAAGGTCATGAATAATATGTGGAAATATTCACATATTTCTTTCTGCATGCTCTTTTCTTGTTTTCTTTTGGACTCAAGGAAAGACACCAAGTGCTCTTTATTTGGATTATATTCTTTTCGATATGTTCATACTTGTATAGTGTTTTTTCCTCCTGTTCAACTCTTCTGCTGGACATCCTTGTACCATAAAAAGATCAATAAGAGTTGCATGGGCTTATTTGTTTCTATATTGTAAGGGTCTTTTTGTGAACTGGAGCAGAATTGACAATATATTACCCTTTGGATTATAAAACTACTCACATATTGTAGTATCTCTTAATTGGAATTAACAAGATGACTGGAAAGAGTT